GAAACACCTGAGCCTCACTGGGATGTCTGGGAATGTCCCTCATGACACAGCTCCGTCTGCAGGAGCTCCGGACCCTGCTGGGCTCTCCTGGAGCACTGGTGGGGCTTGGAGGGGGATGAAGTTGGGATCCCTGTGGTGGAACCTCCTGTGCTTCCAGGTGCCAGCAGTGGGCGAGGGTGAGGCAGCCGTTCTGCCTGAGCAGGAGTGGGGGAACACGGACAACCAGGAGCTCCACGGGATTGCTGTGAAGGGGAATTATGAGGCCACGGTCCCTCTCGGGGAGGATCAGTCAGATCATGTCAGAGGCATCATCATCCCTGGGCTGATCCAGCTCCCGAGCCCTCCCCATGTGGAATGTGGGGGGATTCCAGGTAACTTGTCCTGAAGCCGGTGTTCCTGCACCATTGTTTTTCTGGGATATGGGCCATACATGGACCACCAGGCAGGGATTTGCTGCAGAGAGTCCTAAATTTTAGCTCTGATTAATTTTGGGCTAAAATTTTAGAGGCTGAGTGTTGGACAGACACTTCCTGGGAAATCCCATGCCCGGTTTGACTGACTCTGTCCTGTGTGACTGGATCATCCTGAGAGCCCAGGACTCCCCTTTGGCTGAGCCTCACCATCAGTGTTCATCCCATCACTCCCTCCTTCCCAGGGCCTGGAGGTGCCGATTCCAAATCCACGCTGCTGCCACCGGATGAGGACAGGGAGGATCCTGGGATCCCTGAGCTGCCAGAGAAGGGAGCGGTGATGGGACAGCTGGGTGACGGTGAGTGACAGTGGTGGGCACTAAGGACCCACTTGGTTTGGATGGGGTCTATCAGGATGGAAAATGGGAAGCAAGGCTCAGAGCAAGGCTCTGGGACTGGCTGCCTGTGGGTGGATTCTCCCTCCTGCTCCGGGGAGGATTTGCTTTGATCCTTTTCCCTGGATTCGCCCAGTTAACTCCACCATTCCTGACAAAGTTCCTTCCAGGATGGAGGACTCTGCAGCTCAGCTTTGCCTTCATTTTCCCTCTGGTTTGGACTCTTTGTGAGGATTGTATTGTCAGTCCATTGTGTCCATTGTGTCCAGCATGTCCAGGGCAGTGGTGGAGTCCCCATTCCTGGAGAGATTTAAAGCTGTGTGGATGTGACACTCGGGGACATGAGTTAGTGGTGGCCTTGGCAGTGCTTGGTTAATGATTGGATTTGGTGATCTCAGAGGGCTTTATAACCTCAATTATTCCATGATTCCACGTCTCTGAGGTCCAACAAGCTGCCCTGAAGTTCCCCTCTTCCCAGTAAAACCTTCCTGCTCCCTTTTGTTCTTTGCCGGTTCCTCTCACTGACAGGTGGTGGGGAAGCTCCTCTCCTGCTCCCGCTCTGGAGCTGTGGGCGTGGGAGAACTTCCCGGGCATGAACTGCTGTGTCTCCGCAGGTGAGATGATCGTGATCAAGAAGGAAGAGCAGCAGCCGCCAGAGGACGGGGCTGAGCTCCTGGCTCTGCCCGTGGCCCCCGCGGAGAGGCTGGACGAGGAGGTTCCCCTGAGCCAGGAGCAGCCGGTTCCCTGGGAGAGCCACGGCGTGGCCGGGCCGAAGGCGGCCGGGGCAGGACTGGGGGAGTTCTCCCTGGGGGAATTCAAGCCGGTGGTGGTGCCGGTGGAGGCTCACCCCGCCCCGGGGCTGCCCTTCCCCATGGAGCACGCGCTGGGCGCGGGGACGGAGCAGCCCTTCGCCCTTCCCCAGGGAATGCCGCTGGGAGAAGACCCCGGCGCCGAGGGGGCCTCGCCGCAGCCCGGCTGGGAGCAGCACGATCCCTGCGCCGCCGGCGACGATCCCAGGGCGCTCCCGCCGGGCTGGAAGAGCGTCCGGCTGACGCGCAACCTCCTGGCGCGGCAGCAGAGGAAGAGCAACGGCTCCTTCATCTGCTCGTCCTGCGGGAAGAGCCTGGCGCACCACGCGGCGCTGCTGCGGCACCAGCGCCTGCACACGGGCGAGAGGCCCTTCCAGTGCCCGGACTGCGGCAAGAGCTTCAACGAGAAGTCCAACCTCAACAAGCACTACCGGATCCACACCGGGGAGCGGCCGTACCGCTGCCCCTCCTGCGGGCAGGGCTTCGTGCAGAAGCACCACCTGCAGAAGCACCAGCGCATCCACGGGCCGCCGCGGGGCGCGTGGCCGGGCCGGCCGGGGCGGGCCAGCGCCGCCGGGGAGCGGCTCTACCGCTGCATCGAGTGCGCAGAGAGCTTCCCCCAGAAAGCGTCGCTGGAGGAGCACCAGCGCCGGCACACCCAGCAGCGGCCCTTCCAGTGCCACGGCTGCACCAAGAGCTTCCGGCACCGGCAGTCGCTGAACCACCACCAGAAGGTGCACGCCGTGGCCGGCTCCCCGGCCGGCAGCTTGCCGGGACACAAGCGGGAGCTGGAGCCCTGCGAGGCTCTGGGCCAGGACAGTCGGTAGCCGGAGGGCTGGAGGAGGGAAGGCAGCTGGGGTCACATCGCCCAGGGACTTGTAGCACTGCCGAGGGAAAGGCCCCCAGGGACTGGTCACGAGGCAGCAGAGGAGGGTCAGTGGCTGGAGCCGGGCCAGGCGGTGCCGCTGCCCCGTGGATTCAGCGGAGGAGTGGCTGTGTTGGATCTCGGGGAATGGTGGAATGCAGGGTTGTTTGAACACTGCCAGCCTGGAGAGAGGTGGCCTGGGAGTGGTCGCTGGCCTGAGGTGGTTGATGATCTGGGAGTGGTCAGTGTCCCCAGGGTGTTTGGTGGCCCAGGGGTTGTCAGTGGCCTGGGTACACTGCGGGGGGCTGGGCTGCGGTTGGAATCAGTGGATGAACCAGGAAGAGACTTGGATAAAAGACTTGTGGTCTCCTGTTGTGCTCCAGGGAGTGGGCTCGGGGTGGGCTTGGGAGGTCGGAGAGCAATGGGGCTGGAAAGGGATGGGGGTCACCACCTTCCTTGGTGGGAGGGGGGGACGAATGTGAAGCTGCCTGATGGGAATTTGGAATGGTCCCACAAGAATCCCCCACAGAATCCTCTGTAGGATCTGGGCACCACGGGACTCCCTGGCAGTGCTGAGGGACACATCCCCCTGCCCTTCCCTGCTCCCCTCGGCTGCTCACCCTTCTGCCTGCGGAGGCTTCATCCTTCCTGCCTGGGGTCTCCTGTGGAACCACTCTCCCAGGGGCTCCATAGGGATGGAGCTGCCAGCAGTGATTCCAAAACCTCCCCACCCTGGTCAGAGCTGTCCTGGCTGATCCCAGTTCCTCCAGCCCCAGCCATTCCCATGGGCACTGGCACAGCCCCCAAAACAGCCAGACATAGAGGCAAATACTTTATTAATTCCACATCCTGAGAAAGGGATTGGGAATGTCATAGGAAACGCTGGTCCTGGTCAAAACAGCTTTAGAAATGCCCGGCTGGGGCTGCTGGCCCGAGGAGGGGCCGGCACCTCTGCTGGCCGGGGGGGGATCACCCTCCAGCACCACCAGCTCAGTCATGGGATCCCCTGGGATCTCTACCCCTGCAGGATAACCAGCCACTGGCTCACTGCCAGATCCATAGTAATCCATATGGTAATCCATATGGTAATCCATATGCAATCCATAAGGCAGCAACCGCCCCTGCATCCCGTCGGGAACACGGCGTGACCCATCTGCCGTTGTCACCCCTCCTGCTTCCCAGACGCAATCCCAGGGGCAGGAATTGTGACACACTGCCCTGGAGGAGCTGTGGGACATGCTGTGTGTCCCCATGGAGCAGCTCGGACACTGCTGTCCCTCCCAGGGGGCAGGGAGGCAGCTGAGGGGCACACCCGGATGTGGCACAGCTCCCAAAGCTTCCCACAGCAGCGCCATCACACCTTGGGAATGACCGGGAATGAAAGATGGGAAAAGCCAACCGGGTCCCGGCCTCACCGCTTGGAGAGGGACAGAAACTTCAGGATGTCAAGTAACTACATTAAACAACTCAAGGAAAACAAAAAAAAAAACACCTGGAAAACTAAATTCAAGAGTCCCAACAGCTTCTCCGTTGGGTCTGCGTGGCGATGGCACCGGGAGGGATGTGTTCCCTGTGCACCAACAGTGCGTGGGGTGAGTGTGGGGCTCTGGCCACGGACACGGTTCCGGTGGCTCCGGGGATGCCAGAGCGGTGCCAGGCCTGGCTTTCACCGGCTGCCTCCGGGCAGGTCTCCCTCCCCTCCGGCTGAGGTAGCTGAAGAACTGGTTTCCTGTGGGATTTGGGGGACAAGGAGATGAGCTGTGGTTGGGCGAGCGGGAGCAGGAGCCGGTGGCTGCCATGGCGGATCCATGAGGATCAGGTACTGCTGGGCAGCACAGGGCTGGCTGACCCATCAAGTATTCCCAAAATGACTGCATCCATGCAGGATGGTCCCAAGAGTGCCTGTGGACTCCCTGATGGAGTGGCCGGGACCCCTGGATTTTGCAAGATCAGAACAGTGGGGTTTGATTTGTTCTACGGATCTTCCAGTGCAAAGCTCCAGCGTTCCCAACCCACTGCAGGGGTTGGTGGATCTCCTCCCTGGGATGGGGTGTGACAGGCGTGGCCGGGACGTGGCGGGGTTTCCCTTCATCCGGCGTCTTAATCAGGAAGCTTGGTCAGTGGAGCAAAGGGCTCCTTGGGAATGCTGCCACTCCATTCCCTTCTCCCTGTCCTCTTCAGTTGTGTTCCCATGGCGAGGGGTCAGTTCCAGTGTCAAGGAATGGGAGAGCTCAGCTGCTGTTTTGACCTGGTCATCTCCCAGGCATGTCAGCTTGGCAGAATTCCAAGCATCAGCCAACGGGCACAAGGGTCAGTGGAATGGTGAAGCATTTTGGATTGCTGGAGGCTCCCGCAATTTGCTCTCTGTGGTGGTCTCCGTGCTTCCCATTCCTTCTACAACTCCGGGAAGCTCCTAAAACGCAGCAGATTCCCAACCCTGGTGCCCCACCACACACAAACCCAACACTCACAGCTTCTCTCCAGGGCCACACGCAGTTCGGATCTGCCCCGTGGTCATTTCTCCATCATCCCCGACAGCGCCGCCCTCGTTCCCAGCCGGACCACGGGCCGCGTGGCTCTCCCGACACGGTTGGGAAGGGGGCAGCCCTTGTCCGGGAGCTCCAGCTGCGTCGCTCCCAACAGGAGCGCGTTGGGCGGACCCGCTTTTGTCGGCTTGGGGCTCGTGTTCCCCTTGGAAACGTTCCTCTGGGCCGCAGGAGCCGCGGGATGCTGGGATGCCGGGATGGCGGCGGCACGCCGGGCTCGCTCGTGGATCTTCTGGTGGCGCAGGAGGTGGGTGTGGCGGGTGAAGCACTTGTTGCAGGAGCTGCAGCAGTGGGGCCGCTCCCGCGCGTGGGTGCGGAGGTGCCGCCGGAGCGACACGGGGCAGGACAGCACCCTCTTGCAGTAGATGCACTTCAGCTTGGGATTCGGCGGCGGCGTGATCCTGGCGCCGGACCCGCCCCCTCCGTCCGGCTCCTCCTTGGGCTGGCCCAGCCAGGCCCCCCCGGCGTGGATGCCGTTGCCCAGCCCGGGGCTGCCCCCGCAGAGGTCCCTCCGCGGGCGGACGCGCAGCTCCGGGTGCACGTTCCCCCAGACCTTGGCTCCGACGGCCCTGTCCTTGACGTGGACGCTCCGGTGCAGGTCCAGGTGCCGCTTGTCGGTGAAGCCGATCTCGCACACGGGGCACTCGTAGGGCCCTTCCTTGGCGTGGCTGCGCTGGTGGATGATGAGGTTGATCTTGAGGCGGAAGCGCTTCCCGCACTCCGTGCAGGGATGGCACCATTCCCGCACGTACCCGCGCCGGCAGTTCCCCATCAGGAGGCTGCTGGTCTCGCACCGGCTCGGCTTCTTCTTGTTCTTGGCTTTGACCGGCTCGTTTTTGGGGCACTTCTGGATCTCCGAGCCGGGACAGGGTGTGGAATCCTCTGGCAGCACCTCAGGCTCCTCTTCCTTCACCTCCACGTTCTCGGGAGAATCCCCTTCACACGGCATTTCATCTTCCGGTAACGAGGCTTCCTCTGGAACAGAGGGACACTGGTGTGACACAGACCCAGGGCAGGGCCCGTCCCTGTGCTGGCACTGCTGAGGCACCTCCAGCCCTGGGGGCAGTTTGGGCCCCTCAGGACAATAAAGACATGGAGGGGCTGGAGCGTGTCCAGGGAAGGGAACAGAGCTGGGAAGGGGCTGGAGCAGCAGGAGCAGCTGAGGGAGCTGGGGGGGCTCAGCCTGGAGAAAAGGAGGCTCAGGGGGGACCTTCTGGCTCTGCAACCCCCTGACAGGAGGGGGGAGCCAGGGGGGGTCGGGCTCTGCTCCCAGGGAACAAGGGACAGGAGGAGAGGGAACGGCCTCCAGCTGTGCCGGGGGGGGCTTAGGTTGGATATTGGGGAAATTCCTCCTGGAAAGGGCTGTCCAGCCCTGGCACAGCTGCCCAGGGCAGGGGTGGAGTCCCATCCCTGGAGGGATTTCAAAGCCCTGTGGATGTGGCACTTGGGGACGTGGGTCAGTGGTGGCCCATCTCCTGATGGTTGTCCTTCTCCCTCCCCATTTCCAGCCCATCAGAGCTCTGGGAGCTGCTTCCTGTCTGCCAGACCCCTTGTCCCCAGCACAGGGTGACTCACCTGTGTCGGGATCTGCGGGATCCTCCGGATCCTCCTCCGTCTCCATCCCTGGCCGATGGCCCCCCAGGGACATGACGTTCATCACCAGGATGGGGAGTTCTGTTTGCAGGGAAAAGGGATTTGAAAGACCCATGGAGAGCTCCCCACTCCGGCGTGAGGAACTGGAGATTGCCAGGAGTGTGTGGAAAAGCCGGAGAGAGCTGTGGCTCAAGAGCCAGGACATGGATTAGATACTGCAAAAATTCCTCCTGGGAAGGGCTGCCCAGCCCTGGCACAGCTGCCCAGGGCAGGGGTGGAGTCCCCATCCCTGGAGGGATTTCAAAGCCCTGTGGATGTGGCACTTGGGGACATGGGTCAGTGGTGGCCTTGGCAGTGCTGGGGGATGGAGGAAGTTGATGGTCTTAGAGGGCTTTTCCAACCTCACGGATTCTAAGGAAAGCCTATGAGGTGTTGGGAGGAACTGGAGCGAAGCCACACATGGACCAAAAGCAGAGGGAGGGCTGGGAGAAGGACACCAAGGCACCATGTGTCATCACCTCCATGGAGCAGCCTCATCCCACCATCTCCACAGGCTGCATTCCCATGTCCAGGCCCTCAACCCCCTTCCATTGGCCCGTGCCAGCGACCCAAGGCTCCCACTCCTCCCTGGTGATGCTCCTCTGAGCATCAGGACCAGCTGTGCCCTCTGCCACGGGCACTGCCAGAGAAACACACCCCCCTGGCACCCCTGGGACTCACCTGGCCCCGCTTCCATGGGGACAGGACCTTCTCCCAAAGCCTCTTCCTGCTGCTCCGTCTCTTCTGGTGTCTGTGGGGGCTTCTCATTGTCGGGGACATCTGTCTGGGGGTGTTTCTGGCTGTCTCCTGTCTGTGCCTGGGGGTGTTTCTGTCTGTCCCCAGAGTGTTTCTGGCTGTTCACAGTGTGTGCCTGGAGGTGTTTCTGTCTGTCCCCAGTGTGTGTCTGAGGGTGTTTCTGGCTGTCCCCAGTGTGTGCCTGTGGGTGTTTCTGGCTGTCCCCAGTCTGTGCCTGTGGGTTTTTCTGGCTGTCCC